GATGGGTGTGTACCTCCAGTGCAAATTTCAACTTTACATCTCTGATAGTTTTCGAACGGCAGCCTGTTAAAGTTTTGGCCTGCACCCCAGCCAGTACTATAAGACTCTATAGGCGGACCGCCGACCCCCACCCCCTCACTAAAATGGCCATAACTTCGCCAATTTTGACCCCAGAGGAATAATTTTTATTGCAAACGAAAGTTTAACATGTCTGCTATCTATTTCAGTCGAAAACAGAAATTCGCATTTTGGAAAAAGTTTCGAGAAAATCGACTTTGAAGTTTCACCCAAAATTTCGAGAGGAAAATCGCATCTTTTTCGGTTTTGGGAAAAAATTTGAGACCAAAAGTGCTGTAACCGGCAGAGTTTTCAAGATAGGAAGCTGAAATTTGGAACACAACAACTTCAGATGGGTGTGTACCTCCAGTGCAAATTTCAACTTTACATCTCTGATAGTTTTCGAACGGCAGCCTGTTAAAGTTTTGGCCTGCACCCCAGCCAATACTATAAGACTCTATAGGCGGACCGCCGACCCCCACCCCCTCACTAAAATGGCCATAACTTCGCCAATTTTGACCCCAGAGGAATAATTTTTATTGCAAACGAAAGTTTAACATGTCTGCTATCTATTTCAGTCGAAAACAGAAATTCACATTTTGGAAAAAGTTTCGAGAAAATCGACTTTGAAGTTTCACCCAAAATTTCGAGAGGAAAATCGCATCTTTTTTGGTTTTGGGAAAAAATTTGAGACCAAAAGTGCTGTAACCGGCAGAGTTTTCAAGATAGGAAGCTGAAATTTGGAAGACAACAACTTCAGATGGGTGTGTACCTCCAGTGCAAATTTCAACTTTACATCTCTGATAGTTTTCGAACGGCAGCCTGTTAAAGTTTTGGCCTGCACCCCAGCCAGTACTATAAGACTCTATAGGCGGACCCGACCCCCACCCCCTCACTAAAATGGCCATAACTTCGCCAATTTTGACCCAAAAGGTATAATATGTTTTTTTTATGTTAAGAGTTACCTGTCCTTGTTTGGGAGTAATAATATGACTATTTGTAATAATTTAGATCATGTGACAGCCACGTGATGATCGTAAAAGAAGATATGACAAAAGCCAAATGACAAAAGTGAAATGACAAAAGAAAAGATACATCGTACATTTGTTAAATGACAAGTGTAAAACTGAAGACGTTTCTTGTCATTTGTCCTTCGTCTCTTTCGAAAGGTATTAACGGTAAGATGACCTGATAAGTGTCATTTTTATTAGGTTTTATCACTGCCTTTTGAGATTTCTCAATGACATGTGAAAAGTTTGTAAATGGAATCTACACTTGAAACATTTGTCATTGAACAATTTACAATTGACATGGACAAAATGTGCATTGAATTTAATTATGACTGGTTTGCCATTCCATAGTATATTCTTTAAAACTCTGTGTGTATAGAATTTCAAAATATCATATTTTGAAACATAACCACACAAAGCTTTGCGTGTGATACGTCTGCAAAACAGATAACTTAATAGCAACGTGTAAAACATGTAGAATGCTACATGATAGAACATATTAAATCGGTTTCTAATATTTTAATGTCACTTGAGCATATTTAGTGGTACCTTTGTCATTACATTAGTCATCTTGGGCGCGATCCTTCAAAATTCGTTGAACAAATATTAATGACTCTTTTTGGGTTCTACGCCGTTTATTGCAGATATAAAGTGCTTCAATGCCACTGCCTGATTCGTGTCTTTGTCTACGCTCATGTGGACACAGTACAACGCTTTGTATTACGCTGTGTTAAATTCAGACGTACTCTTACATGTTTTACGCCCCCCTTTCCGCTATTCGCATTCGTTGCATTGATGCCCCCTCACCCTCGATTGGATGTTTCCCCTTTCCCAAGAAGTACAGAAGTGATTACGGGCGTGTAAAGAAGTATTCAATTTTCTGGTTAAGGAAAGAATAAAAGAGTTTTTATGGCAATTCAGATTTCGGTAAAGATTTTTATTAGAAAAACATTGATAACAGTTTTAGTTACATCCAAAAAATTATAAATTTCGATTTCAGACAATTTGAGAGATTAAACGTCTTTGATAGACATATATGGGCTTAAATTGTCACTTTAGGAAAAATCTTGATTTCTTCAAATCGTCAAATGAAATTGAATTCTTTTCAAGTAGATCTCGTCATAATTCTGCTGATGCTTTTATAGAGCTGAGTAAGTTATCAATTCAATTTTTGGGAAATCCACTGCACAAGAAACTACGGCACATCAGCGCATAAGCATAAGGACAGATGGCATGGCAAAAAAGAAAGGCGTTTATCACAACTGTTTTCTAAACTATCGTTTGAAATATTAAAACAGTTATAGTATTATTTAAGTAAAAGTACAAAAGTTAAAAAAATAATAATAACATAGGTAAAGGATCAATAAAAAAAATATAAACAAATAAGTTACATATTTCAAGATGGGTTGTCAAGTCGACCTTGCGTCTGACAGAATCTGGTTTTTCGACAACCGCTAGCAACTTGTGGCATCTGCGAGAATTTTGCTAGACATCCAATGAGATTATGTGCATCGCCAGGTGACCTGAATCCCAATCCCTTTTAAATGAGATGCACGTGGGTGAAAATCGCCTCCAATATTATTCAGAAAGATTCGGCACTAAAACCCAGTTTTTTTGTATTTAAAAGAGTACAATTTTGATATGATCATTAGAAGCAAAGTAACATGAAAAGGTATCCATAAACACACGTAGAAAAGCTGCTTAAAAATAACAAAATTGCCGTCGAGTTGAGCCAAACACAGGATATAATGTGAACTTTAGTGGTTGACGTTTGTTTGCCTGATTGTAAGAAACAAGATAGAAACTTTAATTTCAAAATTAGGTTAAATGATTCAGGTTGAACGTGCATCTTAAACACTAGAAAAATAATAGATTAAGAGATCTCTTTGTTAAAAGTTTAGAATGTAAATTGGTAGGTTAACAAATATTCAGTAGAGTGGCCAACAATAATATCAGTAGGACGACTGGGGCCGTTTTTATACCATCACATTTTGCTTTTTCCTTCTCTACGTTTCTATAATCAGCAGCTGGAAATGGAAATAGGTCAGAGTTACAGTAATTCGAACATATGAAAAGGTGATGTGTTTATTATCTACACGTAAATTGTATTTGGTAGTTTTCAATAGCATGCATGCAAAGTACCGTGTTCATTTAGCAATAGGAATAATATTCTATTGATTGCTACCAAACAGGTCTTGGAACGAAAAATCCAAATTCACGAAAATCAAGTAAAAAAGATTGTATGACGTACCTGGACAAAGTTTACATTTGTTAGGACAATATTTAGCAAATTTAGTACAACTAACACCATTGTCACCACACCATGTTTTAGAATCTTCTACATTACAATCAACTGAAACGGTACAGTTAAAGAGGTAGAGTCGTTTCAATCTTTATTTGGATAATCTGAATTTTTCAACATGTTCCGAACATCCAATTAAACCTAAAGTTCCCATTTCCATTATGTATACATTGGCAAATAATACAATAATTGTAACTTTAAACGATTTTATGAGATTATTACCCTTGAAAGATATAGACAGTGGAACGATTTTGGAAATAGTCGGAAATTTCAGATTTAAAGTCTATAAAGTTAAATGGATAGCAGAAATTGAGCAATCATCGAAAGCCTTCTGTGATCGAATTGGGCACGTTAAAAAAGAAACCTACTTTTGCAGCTGTCCGTAACATAGGATTCTGTTATACAGTCACATTTACAGTCTGAAACAGACATGTTGGACCCGTGCCAGCATGTATTTTCACAAACTGAAATAATAATAATAATAATAATAATAGAATCAGGTATGAGGTTATCTTTATTTATATAAAAAAAAGTAATAATAATCAAGGGCAATAATTCAAACAACATACAAATACGTTATCTCAAAGAAATCACTGAAATCACTAATAAATTTAATATCTTTCATCTGAAATAAGCTGGGTTTTTTTTTAACCATTTCACAAAACAAAACGCGTTTATATATGAAGAACTAGATACGATTATCAAACAATGAAATAATCATTTTTAGGTGACATTTCTTGCAAATATGGTCAGTTGGTAAATTGAACGAGAAAAAAAAATTTGTCTTCAAACTTTGAACTGCTGTCAACAATATAGCTTATAGTTGCGAAATCATACTAACTTACCACATAATTTGCCAGTTGAATCACAATTATCAGGACAATCTGCACATGGTTCTCCTTGTTTATAAGGTGTTTTAAATCGACTTCCTATATTACCACTACAATATAAATACATGTATATAAAAACATAATATAGTGCCTAACGCTTATATTTTGACAGCCATTTTCATAAAACCTTTAATTTTCATTTAAGTGATTGTAAAGAGGTTTTCCATTCCTTATGTTTTTTGCCATCGCTATTATTTGCACTTTTCCTGTAGTGCCAACGCAATTAGAGATAACGTAACATTACATTTGGTTGTGATTGTATTTCCAGATGTATTTCCTTTACCCATCTAATACAGCTCAATCTAAGGCCACGTTTCCATCGAGCTTCTGAGTCAGCGTTGACGTCGGCGTCGGCGTCAGCGTTCGCGTTTGAATTAGTTCTGGCATAAAAGTGTTTCGACCAGGCGTTCGCGTCAGCGCCGTATCTAGCTTCGGATGCAGCCAACGCACCCGCACCCAATTTCAACTTAATCAAAACACGTGATAATATATGTCGATTTCAGCTGAATGAGCGATTCAGGCACAGGCAAGCTTATAGAAGCTGTACAGAGGCGGCCTGCACTGTACGATAAATCTACACGTGACTACAGACTTTAGCAACAGAGACATGAAAGAAAACCTCTGGGAATCCATAAATCTCTTGGTAATCTTAAAAAACGCGCAGACCTGATTGCTTGGTAGAAACATTCGAACGCGGATTTGAACGCAGACGGGGACGTTGACGCTGACGCCGACGCCAACACAGAAGCTTGGTGGAAACGTGGCCTAAGTCATCCGCATCACTTTCCAAAATGAAACTCGGATGGTCAATTTACAGCTAAATAAAAGTAGATGATCGAAATAGGAGCGCAATCAACATTCTCTCGGGAAATAACTACCGATGACGACATGTTGGGCGTATTTCTTTATTTAATTACATGCAAACTGTAAGCTTATCTAAGATAATCATTCTGAAAAGATATAGATAGCCTATATTGAGCTATATATCTGTTGTAAAAGCTAAAAATAAAACGGTTATTTCCCTCTACGAACAACTTACGCAGGAGCATAATTACAAACATAATAATTGGTTGTTCCACATTTAGCATAGCCACATCCGACCAAGTTACTCATCGCCCAGTTTATCTGCAAAAACCACAATTCATCTGAATATATTGAAAACAAATTTTCTACTTCGGTACACTATGTATTTTGTATGATGCTATTGAAACTTACAATATAATTAAGAACGACATTTTGCAGGATGCTAACAGTTCGTCCAATCAAACACCCTGATCGGTAAAGTTTTATCCAAATAGAAAAATGGGGCAAGACGGCTTGGTGAAGAACGATGGCTCGAAGAAAAAAGACGAGATAGTAGTAATTTTCGAGCAATTTGAACGACGGACCATCCAAGGAAACTACTTTTTGACTTTTGTGAATTGTGATGCTCAACCGTCAAGACTGTGACGCAGGATCTTATACCAATGGGGGACTTCGATTGCAGCCTTGGTTCGACTCTAGAGACTCGAGTCACAATCGAATTGTAATATTTTCTAGAGTTGGGACTCGTGTGACGTAATATTTGACCGGGTTCGACACTCACTATTTGGAGAGTTAAACCCGAGATAAGATGGCCGACCCAAACTTGTAAGTGCACATTGTGGAATTTATTTTTTGATTTTGTTAATGTTTTGTGATCCTGGCATGCTAATATATATTGATACAAATTAACAGTGTTTAAAAAAAAGACAGAATTTTTTGGTTATTTTTTGCTTAAAACAATCAATGCAAAGTAGATCAATTCAGTAAAATGTATTCTATTTAAATTTCATGAAGTCCATAGTCTGTGCCAGTGCTTCTATAGTATATAGATATTCCGTATAAACAGTGACTATTATTATTATTACTATTACTATGACAGTAATATTTGGACTTAAAGTGGCATTATATGGGTTTGGATCCGAAAAAAAAAAATCTTCCCACAAGGAATAATTTGTAAGTGCCGCCATTTTTCCTTAACTCGATTAATTTCGATTGGGACCCTCATCCGACATGCGCACTAAGGATATGACGTCATTTCCCCCTTAACTCGAGATCGACAACTCGGGCACCAATCGAAGTCACCCAATGATATCAGTAACCCCACAAAAACTGATTATAAACATTATCGTTCTCTTCCATTTCGTGTTAGTTTCTGATATCCTTTTGTAAGCTTCAAATGAAATAAAGAACCCGAAAAGTTTCAATGAGACAAATGTGGTCGAGAACTTTTGACAGAAATGATGAACTAAATTTTTTATATCCTAATTTTGATAAAGACGAACATGACTTTCCGGTATAGATGGTATGAGAGTTGATGTAAGATTTACTCTTGCTATGGCCTTGTGCACTGTATATTTGGCTCACCTTGAGCGTGAAAATAACTACTTACTACGGAAACAAAATAAGGTTAACCCTAACCCTACCTAACCCAGTGTTAAGGATGACTTGAATTTCTTACCTGTGTATAATGGCCAGTTTTCTTGAAATCGTTACCATCTGCACCGTATGTAAAATCTTCTTTTTCATCTTGCCACAGATTTATAGCAGCCTCGAAACTTCTGCTACCCCACGCTAAATTCTGACCAACGCCGTATCGTGCTAAAATATAAATGATTTTTATCAATTCAGATCGACAGGCGTTTCGCATCATCAAGTGGTGTTTCTATGGAAAAGGGAGGCTGGAGGGGCAAGTTTCAAATTGAATTAAATTCTAAAATGCTTGTAGCTGTGAGCCCCCTTTGACAACTCGATCCCTCTACCTAATGATTCAGAGAAACGTCACTGGAGTCATCCCATTGGATCGCGGATTAATGAAATATCTAAAACTGGTAAGAAAATAGTCGTAAAAACAGATTGCTTAGACAGGATAAAAAGAGGGCAACTGCTGAAATTTCCAGTCATTGATGTACTCCGTTAGACTTAATCCAATGATTGATCAGATTTTCCCAGATGCCAGCATGGTTTCATAATTTATTATTCAGTTCACGACCATGCAATGTCATTTATGTGTGTTTTTCCACAGATGGTAGATAATAAGAGTTTAAAAAACTAGACATTTCTTACCTGGAATTGCTCTTGCACTCCCAGAATCGTGGACAAAATCACAGTTTTCAGCCCATTTCTGTGCTACTTTGGCAATTTCATTATTCCATTTCTAAAAATTGAACAGATCTTTTCAACAAAATCTGATCAGTAAATATAGACCTATAGATCTATTCCAAAACAATGTTCAACGGCTATTGAACGTAATTTCTTGACATTGTGAAGATGATGGGGCCCAGAATGTCACAGAATGCAGCGATTTGATTGGATTGTACACTAACGTATACAGCTAATCAGAGCCCTTTCGACTTTCCGTCGAAGCCTCTGATTGGCTGTATTAACTTGCGTACAATACAATCAAATGCATTTGCAAACAAAAGAAAGGTGAATCTTTCCCAAACGAAGTCGAAGTAAATTGTCTTTCCTCTTACCATTTTTAACATGTTGCTAGCAGTAGGTTTTACTTCGGCTCTAAACTGGTTGTGTAAGGTAACAATCGTTGTCTTGTCGGCCTCCGTTACACCTAAACATAAATTGATATCACCAAACTCTATATCTTCTATACAGAAGATTGGGGTTGTTTCTAGATTTCTAAATCTCTGATGTAGATCAGAACAGCTGGTATGAGAAAAGGATATGGTTGTTCAGAAGTCCTTGTGCTTATAGCCAAATTTCCCTGATTGCATACTGCATGGTTTTGTTCATTTAAGGTAAACAAAACATCAAATCAGAATCACAAAAGTAGGACGTAAATTTCAGCTTGTTTAAGCCTGGTTCACTCAGTTTAGCCAGGGCTTCTGTCTCCATAGTCTTTTACAAAAGAAATAAACCTACAGCTCGGACAGAATTCTTTCCGTTTAATCGGTATTTTCTGTATAATGGGAAATTTGCCTCAAGGCATGAAATATATATAGATACAAACCCTAGGCTGAAGAACATAATATTTGGAATCCATCATCAAGTGCTCACCTGATTCTGTAACTTTGTCTGATTTCTTTAAACATAATGTATGGCTATCAACCAAATCATAATTAGACTAAAAAGGAAATTTAAACGAAAATAAAATAGAATAGTATCAATCTTAGGTGAAGTTATTAAAAAAAGTTATTCTATTATTAAAGGGATAGATGCGCCATTTTCTTTTTTTTTTTTACCAATAGTAGCTTAGTCTCAGGAACAGGAATATTTTAGCTAAGCTAATCAGTAATAGTGTTGAATGCTCATCGTCGAAATCTGAGCCTTCAAGTGCATGTGTGTCTAGATTTATCCGCGTTTGAAAGTTAAAAAGAGTTGTCTTTTCTCGAGACACTGTCATATATAGAAATGACAGTAAGGTATCCCTTTAATTGCATGATTTTGTCCATTTTCAGTACGTTGTGCTATTGTCTATAGAACAGTAGGCCGTAAAAGTTCCAATGAAGTTGTTCCGTGTCTCATTAACGATACTTTATTTCCCTCGAGAAATAGACCATTCACTAAAAGCATATACTCGCTTATCAAAGCCACATATACATAAGTAATATATACTTCTATTCAGAGCACTGTTGAATAATTCATGTTCCGATTTTATGATAGGGACCCATAGTTAAACTTTCCTCGATACTGTTTTTGACCTTGCCTTGAATTGGTATTTGATTTTGCCATGTCATATGTGACACTGATCTGACACTGATATTTAACCTTGCCTTGCGGTTTTTGACTTTGCGTTCTTAAACAGAAGTTCATTAATACACAGATTTATTATTGTAGACAATAATTCTTTGTGTGTTTCTTTATTTGGGAATGTCTAAAAGCAAATATAAAAAATTATACTTACTGCTCTTTTCTGTCTCAATAGACTCCCAAAGTATTCATTTTCATCAAATTGCACTGCACCGAAAATACCTGAAATGTAAAAGAATTCAGTTCCATTCAATCATTGTAACCGGGGCTGCAACTCATACTATCTTCAGTGTACAGTCTGAAGAAGGGTGCTATCTGATGTGAAATGTAAGGATGAAATCTGATCTGAGATGTAAGGTGGATGTTATCTGATATGAAATGTGAAGAGGACGTATCTGATCTGAGATGGGGAGAGGATGTTATCTGATCTGTGATGGAAGAAGAATGTTATCTGATCCGATATAGAAGAAGAATGTTATCTGATCTGAGATATAAGAAGGATGTTATCTTATCTAAAATGTAAGATAGATGTTATCTGATCTGATCTGAAAAGGAAGAAGGATGATATCTGATCTGAGATGGGAAGAGGATGTTATCTGATCTGAGATGTAAGTTGGATGTTATCTGATATGAGATTGAAGGACAGTGATGGAAGGATAATGTTGTCTTGTATAAGATGAGTGGCGGATGTTATATGATCTTATATGGAGACGGATGTTATCTGATCTGAGATGGAAGAAGGATGTTATCCGATCTGAAACTGTTTATTTTTTTTTCTGAAATGTTCACAATGTTTTCAACTGTTATTTTGAAATCCGTGAGTTTCATATTGCATTTTGAGGTCATATAGAATATGGACTGAACGTCGAGTCAATGACGGAGTACTTTGACGAGTTTTTGGTGGGGCTGGGCTTCGTTGGATGGTTGGGGTTGCTGCCCTTTGCTGCATTTGATTGATTTAATTACAGACCTCTTGTAATTAAGTTGGGTGGGTCGGATTTAGATCGTTGGAATACAATATAAATTGCATTCCATTATTCTTTGTTGTCAGACTGCTAGAATTAAGCTATCGATCAGCGTCTATACAGAAACATAGACATATTTTTTTCAAAAATACAAAAACTGATTAAGATAAATTATTGATGGAAATTGAATCCATTGATAGTTGTCATCGGGAATAAAATATCGCCAAAATCAATGGAGAATAATACATCGTACGCAATAAACTCATGGATTTATTTCCTTTTTTCAATTATGTAATAGTTAAGCTTATTGAGTAATGAAAAACGGTATGTAAAGCCAGTTCCTTAAAAATATTTTATTTCATTTCCTCCAACCGTGATTAACGAATTATTCAAGGGGAAATTAAAGTGCTCTTAGCGTGTTCAATCATCATAAATGTTGGTAGATGACCTGCATGGTGAACAAATAATTGCACCTCGTAATAATTTGGTAGCACTGAAGGAAGTTCTTGCAGCAGAAAATTAAATTTGTTACTAGAACGCCATTAACGTAACGATTCTTATTAAAGAGAAGCGGAGAATATCCTAACGATAGACAGTCAGAAAATGAGTGTCACTCTTTGAAATATTATAGAGTTATCACCCTTTACAACTGACCTTATTAACACCCAATCAAAGACAAAGCCCAATGAGTTAAGTTTTTCACAAATTCCGTACGCATCACTTCTCGCTTGACCCAAAACCATATTCTTAGCCATTAGAAAATATAAGTAGGCATAAATTTGTTGGCAGTTTTTTAAAGGAACATTAAGAATAATCATCTACCTAAACAAAAATTTCTATTCCTTTATTGGACAAAAATGTTCACATCACCACAGTCAATATTTAAAAAGTGTAGCTCGAAAATACCGTATATACTAATCAACAACCAATCATAATCTATCAGAGTCAATCATTTTCAAAGAATCCGACGGTATTTTAAATGTCGTGAACGATTGGCTGTTTGGAACATGACAACCCATGGTTATTTTTTTTGTCGCTTTTGAAACCTGTTAACTTATTAACTCATCAATGCAGTATGTTTATTTCCTTTTGAATTAAAATCAACTTAATTCCCTTTGAATTAAATACAAGCAAATTAAATTTGACCATAACGTATAACGTAAACTGAACCGTACTAACAAAAACCTTCAGATGCAGGTTGAAGAGCTGGAATAAAGTGTCCATTTGTTTGTAAAATAACAATAAACTGGATGCTACAGACTGTGTCGTACAGATCCACCGACAATTGAAAAACAAAACCATGCAAATATTCTCGCCTTTATCACTGTATGAACTTCATTAGCTAATGAGCTCTGGACCAGAAAGGTAGGCTGTAAAACTCTTTTCCATTTCATTTTAAATAACCTTGAACCGAGATCAGCTCTCATAAAATCCTCTTTTCCTAAAATATTTTTATCCTTTATTATGGTATTGACATTATAATTTGTCAGTATAATGACATCTTTTGACCAAATATAATCTTATATATCTGTCAAAAATCCATGAATTTACAATCCAAAATAATATAATATTCTGTTAAATCCTATGAGAATAATTGGACATGTTCACTGAATCTGGTGGGTGGTAATTGGACACATATTCAAGGGATGTTCTCCTTGATTTTACCAACTGAGCATCGTCATATTAAAAAAAATAACATTAGAAATACTGTCGCCACAGCACTGATATTTTAAAGGAATAAAGTTTTTTTTCAAGGGTTTGAACAGAGGTTATCTTCGCCATGTGCAATTCTTTAATTCATGAACAAACTTTGCCATAGTCACTGATGTAAACTGTGAAATTTCAGAAATCGTTTTCCTACAACCGCTTTATTCGTAGATTCAGCTTTACGAAATTGACAAAATAGGGCGAATAAATGGCATTTAGCCTATATCCATGGGTTTGAATGGTTGGTGACATCAAAATCTAATTTTCTGGAATGATGGCGGACAGGAAATCAGAATTGTGCAACTAGAAACAAAAAATTACTGTTGTTATTGCTTCAATCAGCATCAGCATCATATATTTTTAATTCGAAACTTAATATTGTAAATGTATTGGAATTACAACACCCTTTAATTCCAGACTGAACATGTATTGAAATTACAACACCATTTAATTTCAGACTGAACATGTATTGAAATGACAACACTATTTAATTTCAGACTGAACATGTATTGAAATTACAACACCCTTTAATTCCAGACTGAACATGTATTGAAATTACAACACCATTTAATTTCAAACTGAACATGTATTGAAATGACAACACTATTTAATTTCAGACTGAACATGTATTGAAATTACAACACCATTTAATTTCAGACTGAACATGTATTGAAATGACAACACTATTTAATTTCAGACTGAACATGTATTGAAATGACAACACTATTTAATTTCAGACTGAACATGTATTGAAATTACAACACTATTTAATTTCAGACTGTACATGTATTGAAATTACAACACCATTTAATTCCAGACTGAACATGTATTGAAATGACAACACTATTTAATTTCAGACTGAACATGTATTGAAATGACAACACTATTTAATTCCAGACTGAACATGTATTGAAATGACAACACTATTTAATTTCAGACTGAACATGTATTGAAATTACAACACCATTTAATTTCAGACTGAACATGTATTGAAATGACAACACTATTTAATTTCAGACTGAACATGTATTGAAATGACAACACTATTTAATTTCAGACTGAACATGTATTGAAATTACAACACTATTTAATTTCAGACTGTACATGTATTGAAATTACAACACCATTTAATTCCAGACTGAACATGTATTGAAATGACAACACTATTTAATTTCAGACTGAACATGTATTGAAATGACAACACTATTTAATTCCAGACTGAACATGTATTGAAATGACAACACTATTTAATTTCAGACTGAACATGTATTGAAATGACAACACTATTTAATTTCAGACTGAACATGTATTGAAATGACAACACTATTTAATTTCAGACTGAACATGTATTGAAATTACAACACCATTTAATTTCAGACTGTACATGTATTGAAATTACAACACCATTTAATTTCAGACTGTACATGTATTGAAATTACAACACTATTTAATTTCAGACTGTACATGTATTGAAATTACAACACCATTTAATTTCAGACTGTACATGTATTGGAATTAAATCACTGTGTAATTTCAGACTGCGTACACATATTCGTATGTACATACATGCACTCTAGTTTAGACGGGATCAACAAGACCATCGTACCTTCAATACGTACAAGAGTATTCACGCCTTGAAAGCAATTTATCTATAAAAGTTTCACTTGAATGAAAGTTTCCTGAGTTTAAAGGACCACCCCCTGGGTTAATTTCCATGTTTATAATTTATTTTTTGATTCGCTAGAAAAATCGTATTAGACAGGTTGAATTCGTCTCAAATTATGTTATCAAAATTATCTTAAAGGGAAACATTCGCCAATCTTTGTTGAAAGTTGAGCCACTTTGAACCGTTATCTTTTTGAGAATGAATTTCTAGCAATGTGTTAACATGCAATTAATCAAATCAGACAAGCATAGTAAATATCCTAAGGTGAATGTAATAGGTTGTCCAGACATATTTTCTGCTTTTAATAATGACAATAATTGAAAAAAAGTAAAAGACGAACGTGCCCCTTTAAAATTTTACAGCGCATAGTTCAATTTCTTTTTATAAACACACCCGAACTGTTTATCTAAAGGTAATCTCATCTTTTGTGACAGGTAGAGAAGATCCTATTGATATCCCAATATTACATGTCACACATAACATGTTAAAAGTAGGGTATCCATCAGCTTAAAAACTTTTTGATTTTGAAATTCTTTCGTCTCTTCTACACAGCTTAATCAATTAATGTTCGAAATGTGCATGGGACATGAGATAATAAGCAAACAATACTGTAAATAGGCTATCTAAGTAGCATTACCAAAGATTATAGAGAAAAATGTGCAATCGAGGTTAAATAAATATATCGTAAATTAATATTTGCTATCTAGGTTGAATAACAATATTATTGTACATGTAATGGAAATGTGTTGTATAGACTGTATAACCAAATCATTGTAATGGAAATATTTGTATAATGGAAAATGTGTTATATAGATTGTATAACGAGATCATTATAATGAAAATGTGTTATATAGATTGTATAACGAGATCATTATAATAGAAATGTGTTATCTTGGTTGTATAACCAAATCATTATAATGGAAACGTGCTATTTAGGTTGAATAACCAAATCATTAAAATGGAAATGTGTTATCTAGGTTGTATAACCAAATCATTATAATGGAAACGTGCTATCTAGGTTGAATAACCAAATCATTAAAATGGAAATGTGCTATCTAGGTTGTATAATTATAAATGTATCATAACAATGAAAATTTGCTATCTAGGTTGTATAAATGTATCATAACGATGGAAATGTGCTATATGTAGGTTGTATAATTATAAATGTATCATAACGATGGAAATGTGCTATCTAAGTTGTATAATTATAAATGTATCATAACAATGGAAATTTGCTATCTAGGTTGTATAATTATAAATGTATCATAACGATGGAAATGTGCTATCTAGGTTGTATAATTATAAATGTATCATAACGATGGAAATTTGCTATCTAGGTTGTATAACCAATTCAGTATAATGTAACGCTATTTAGATTGAACAAATAGCGATGGAAATTTGCTATCTTTATTGGATAACAATATCACCATGGTGGAATAATGCTGACCATGTTGAATAACCAACACATGCTATCTACATTGTATACAAATTGCAATCAAGTCATTATAATGGAGATTGTATATATATTCAAATCATTATAGAAATATGCTATATAGTTTGTATAACCAAAAGAATACGATGAAATTATGCTGTATAGATAGATTGGATTACCATGTAGTCATGATTGAAACATTATCATAACTATCTGGTTAGGGTATATAACCTTCTTGAATAGTAAAAACAACCTATATTGATCTGATACCTATCATAAACTGACAGAAATAACCATTCAAAATGTGGCCTTGAATGGACTCGTGTTAAATAGTTGTTATCGGATTGTTCAGTAGCTTCAATATCTCAATATTGAATAACAATAGAAGTGATTTTTTTAGTCTGGTTGACGAAAACAATTTTTTATTTTTGTGATTATCCAGTAGGTTTTTTTTTATGAATTCATTAACCAAGTAATTTTTTTATCAGACAAGTTTATACATTGCATTGTTACTATACAAAAGAGTGTGTTTAGAGGTCAGACTGTACTGTACAGAAATACCTTGTTCGATCATGCAAGAAAATAACCCAATAAACTGTGCTCTATCTATGCAGTCACTGAAGTAGATTTTCATTATGAATAGGGGAAGCTATGTAAATTTCAATTATATGCATATATCATAAAACCACCTCAACTTTCTTTACCTTACTCTCTAATAGTGTCCACATGCCAAGTTCAGTCTAAATACATACTGTACTGTAAAGGTAAAAGTCTAGGACCGATCTGGGAACACTGTTTCCTTAAGTCTTAAGGCGAATATGTTTGTTGTGTATTCAACCATGAATGGACGCATATGATTCCATAAGCAAAAATTTCTCAGGAGAGAGCTTTCAGGTTTGCATTTTCGTGATATCGATCCGAGAGGCTACACATAAGACATATATGATGTTCATAATGACTTGAAGGACGTGTATATATGACGTACATAATGACTGACGTTCATAATGACTTGAAGGACGTGTATATATGACGTAAATAATGACTTGAAGGACGTGTATATATGATGTTCATAATGACTTGAAGGATAAATTAAAGGCGTGTATATTAGATATGACGTTCATAATGAATTAACGGAGGCATTGAATTGAAGGACGTGTATATAATATATTATGACGTTCATAAAGAATTGAAGGACGTGTATATACATGACGTTTATAATGATTTTAAAGGAAATCTCAAATATTTAGTCAAAATCAGCCGTCTACAGTATTTCCGGATGTCATCACTTGTAAGTATCTACCAATAATTGATCTCCAGTTGTTAGTGCAGGACGTTTGATATGTAATGATAAACGCTGTTAGTAAATGCTATACAACAATACATAATGATCTAGATTGTTTTGCGTGGTGTAGGACGTTCTAATGCTTTGTTAACCTCTATCACGCTTTAATTGCAAGCCACCAGTGGTTAATTATTCATTATTAAATGTACCAGTAATGAGCTGATAGGTAGGGATACATGGCAATTAATGCATGCATTATCTTTTTACCTTAAGGCCATATGTCGTAACATGTCGATAACAATATAGTACAACAATGCACCCTACTAAGGATATATCCGGTTACAATAATACTTATATTTTGATGTACAAAACAAATAGTACATGTATGTACGGATTTAATCACCCGGGAAGACCTGAAAAAACTTTGTTGGGGGTTTCCCCATGACTAAACGCATAACCAAAGTCTGCCTAGTGGTGTGTCTATGAAGGGTGCGCCAGTTTCAAATATCTTATATGTTCTTTAATGCCTGGTTGCTATGAGTTCCACGCTTGCTTTGACAATTCTGTAACCCCTACTCAGCCCCTTCATCTTACGATTCGAAGAAATTGTTCTTTCCTTAACAACCCTGAGGTCGAAATAACCTTGTGGCCGTCCAGTGATCTTGGAACTTTAACCAAGAAATGCATCGCTATGTGTTAAAGATAAGAGATGGGGTGTAGATTAAATTGCATCTAGTATGCAATATTAGTAAGCTAATCAACATGGACATTGGTCTTAAAGGGACAGATTCACCATCCGTTTGACTAATTGTTCTCAGAGAGAAGAACTAAAAAGTGATATTTCTTGTTTTAATTTTGTACATTTTTAGTACTTCTGAAGACTATTTACATATTCAAGACCCAAATCATCCCCCTAAAATGGTTAATCTGTCCCTTTAAAGGTCTGGTTTACACACAGTCAGCAAATGAATAAAGCTCATTTATTTCTGTATATTATTATATTTTCATTGAGACAAAAAAGTTATAAAAAAATTAACAAGAACCCATCTTCTGAGTAACAAATATTGTATCAAAATAAACTAACAATGATATTACTTGATCAATAGAAATACTATATAATGTCAAAGTGATACTTTACTGAAATACAAGTACTATAATAATGGAATGTACACTACAATATCAGTACTAATAACGAAAGAATATTGGATCCGGCAACGGTGGTTAATAATTGCATTCAATAGTCTAAAAATTGCTGCACCAGCTGATAAAGCCCAATTTCAGATTCGAATTTATATGAGGAACATATAAAGACAACAGCATATCCCTTTAAATGGATTTTTCAAATTTGTACCAATCGTTAAAATTTTAAGGAAAATCGACATAGAGAAGCTTCCTTCATGCCAGCTCTAAACGATAAAAAAATGATAAATGGTTCTACTTTTATGTCCTTATCTACAATAACAAACACTAACTAGTTTCCTTATGAACTTCAATGGATCGACTATGTCCTTATCAGCTATTTGCATTATAATAATTTCCGCAATTTTCTAAATAGGACATGATAACGAGTATGGAGGGCCAAGTTAATCAAACCGGACCACTGAGGTATTTATATCAAAAAGGCAACGGAGAATATCAAATAGGAAGTTAAAATGAAAATACCAAGGAAGCACAAAAGAACAGTATTTTATTACAGTGACATATCTGTCAAAGTAAGATTTATATGACCATTTTAGTTTGTCCGAAAATATCAGTGAATGTTACATGGAAGAATTTATTTCAAAATATGCATTGGTGGTACATCAATTTCATGTGGTTTATATTTTTATATAAAAGAAGATACGGTTTTGTTTGTAAATAACAATTAATACAAAATCCGATTTTTTGTGTATACCACATACATAATCATATATATAACTTAGTACAGAATCATACTTGTTTGTATATAACGCTTAATGCAAAATCAGATTTGCTTGTATATGACATACTAAGTACAAATTAAGACTTTTTTGTATATAGCAATTCAAAAACGAATCGGATTTATGTGTATATATCATAACACTTCATGCAAAATCAGATTCATATATAATACATAACAATTGCAAAATCAGATTTGTATGTATATAACAATTAATGCCAATTTAGATATGTATATACTTAAAACATAATGCAAAATCAGATTTGATTGTATATAACACTTAATACAAAATAAGATTTGATTGTATACAACAATCAATGCAAAATCAGATTTGCTTACATATAATACACATAATTAAGCATATGATATGTTAAATTACACAGAAGCTATAGAATATACTATGTTAATTTCAAAAAAATATGTCAATCAGAACAGATGTTACCATTAATAAATGGGACACTGAAACTTTATGCAGCTAAGGCTGTTTCGAACTGCTTACAGCGTTGACTTTCTAACAAAACTGAGACAGGTTGTAAAGGGTGGTCACTTTCTTGAAGATATTTATGGGCGTATGCCATGGCGTTCTTCTTTTCTAATTCAGAGGTCCTTTTACCGACCCACACGAAAACAGAGTCTTTAGTGTCAAAAATAAACACATCTTTACTATCGAAATCAGATTTGGAAATATCTCCAGATTTTTCCTCCGTGAATGTCATTTGACCACTGGCATCGGACAATCTGAATAATTTCTTGGTTTTGTCAACGGCTTCATAACCAGAATCGTCGCTGACGTTATTTTCTTCTGTTAACAATTCATACATGGGATGATCACCTTCAATAAACTCTTCATCCAAGGTCTCGATTTTACATTTTCCGGATCGGTCGCTGGCAATATCTCTACAATACTGCATAGCCTTGAATCTCTCGTCCTTATTACTGCCTTTACCATTCCATTGGTAGATGTTCAGACCTGCATCCATGATGAAGACATCACCAGAATCCAAGGCATCTTTACTTCTAGAGATCTCCTTAACATCAACGCCTTTTCTGTCGCCGTGGAAATGGAACAGACGTGATTTATATTCTTCCGGTTTGACATGTCTGAAACCAGTTTCAGCACCGCCTTCTAAGATTGTGATAGATTTGAAATAAGACTTGAACAATTCCGATTCGTGACCTTGAACTTCTCTGTGCTGAATGGGGGCATCGTCCAAGAAGGTGTCTAGTTCCACAGTCTTGTAAGCAGCGGTACCATACTCGTCTTGGGTACTGTGTTTACCAATCCAAAAATGGACGTCGTATTGGAGTTCATTACTGTCCGCTTCTTTGTATGTATTCAATATGATATAAGAATCGCCATTATAAAATTTACCGTATTCTTCTTTAGGCCATTGGGTCACCTTGAATTTCACGATCCGCCATACTTGAACTCCAACCATCTGTCCGGCATTTTTCCAGGCCGGTTCGGTCTCAGCCGACTCTTTTTTCACATTCTTTTCCACGTCCGATCCAAATAATGCTAAATTCGAGTCTTTCCAGTCGTATTCTTTCTGTTTAATCAAACCACTCATATTGATTTTTTTAAAGGTTTAGTAGCCTGTGTCCTATCCGCTATATATTTCTCTTTATATAGTTCGCTGATCAAAGATAACCAGTACAACACTATCAAATACACTACAACAAATAAACAGCTTGCCCTCGATTTGTTCAGTTGAAAAACGACACTCACAATGCGTCAGCTAAATAGCTATAAATAATATAACAGCTCACGTGATATATATTTATATAGAAATCACCATTAATCGCTTTACTTGTCCTGTTTGTTTGCACATTATTTCTAATCGGTCTATTACAGGAAACACGTTTTCTAATAAACTGATTAGCTAGCTATTTATAGCAACCAATCAAACGTCTGATGATGTCTGTTTTAAGATAACTCACCCGAATATGATTTCGCAATAAACAATCGCTCTGTGTTAATAAGTTGAACTTGTGAAATATTGTATGACATTAGTGAAACTGATTAATAATGAACCACTCATTATAATATAGAGGCGGAGCTGGATTTTTTTTTTTGCGAAGTATAAAGTGCATGTTTTAAATTATACGTACCGCAGTCAAGCGTCAAAAAGGGCAGGGCAGGGGTTAATTTGACCTTTTTATTGAAAAGATGTTTTCTTCCCAATCTTATAAAATAGGACAATCTTTACCCTTCATTTGCCAAACCTGTTTTTGCTATTATCTCCTTTATCAATGAGAGTTAGACGCTTGCGCTTTATCTTAAAAGTTTATTAGAGTGATACAGGTCGGAGGGGCTGACATGGATGAAAATAATTTTTATAGTTTGGACGGGACAATAAATCGAGGCTCTGAGTGCTACAGAATGTTGAGACCTCTTGATAGTTGGAAACCGAAAAAGAGTAGGATATTGCCGCTTTCCTGTACAATATCCCTCATTGCACACAGCATGGCTTTGCCCGTCTTTATTGTCTAATCAGGTGTTGAAAAGTGGGGATTTCAATTGGGTATCACCTAGTTATATATAACCGTTAAAGATACCAGCCACTGTGTGTGGTATAAAATGGACCTAACGTGCCTTTCTGTTGGCTCCGCCACTGTCACTCTGTCGAAATCAGCTTGATGACATATTGTATAAATGTATCATGACTTAAGGGTAATTGTGTGATTCACGCGGTGATGAAGTAAAACGTAAATAACTAGCCTACTCTATTTCTTAATATGTTTCGCAACTATAGATCGTGTACTGTGTCGAAAACTTTGGTGAAAAGGAAAGTTTTAGACATAAATCTTTTGATGTTGATAAGAAATGAAATGCAGTTTTATTTCCTACTTGTCAGCACGTGACTGGGTGTATGAAGACGGACATTGCCATGTACTGTGCAACAGGTGAAATTTTGCAGTAGCTCACATGATTTCCAACCATCTAAGAATAAATGTTTAACGCTCACTTTCTGTAGCACACTAAGGGCCATATGCAGCGCTCGTACTTTACCAAATTTTTGACTAAAGTTAGACTTAAGTCAAACTCTAGGTATGCACCTATCGATCTTTACGAAAGTCGTGCTTAAATTTGACTATCAAATGTAGAAAATGAAAGCCTTAATCCTAACTTTGTAAAGTTCGAGGTAAGATCGCTGCATACGGCCCTAAGCGTTCGATGATGTCACTAATCGCAATATATGCTTGTATCACATAAGGCGATTCGTGACGTCATAAACGCTAGGTTTTGGTGGAATTGCGGGAACCACAGACGTCTGATTGAAAATTGGAATGGTTCAAATTGATACTAAATTTAGAAAACCCTTTTACAATCCCTTTAAATTCGCTAGACAGATTATCATCTATCTAACAATTCATAAAGGGACATTACTATGGATTAATCACAGACCACAACATATTGATTGAGATAATGAGGATTTTAAATTCATATTAATAGTTATAGTCTTGCTTCGGACCTAGACCCGCGTTTTCTATGAGTTAAATTCTCATTTCACCTTAAGACTATAGTATTTAATAATCTCTAAAACTATACTATCCATTAGTCTACAATATTTTATAGTCTCTTAAACTACAGTAGGCCTATCCATTAGTCTATAGTATTTTATAGTCTCTCAAACTACAGTATCCATTAGTCTACAGTATTTAATAGTCTCTAAAACTACAGTATCCATTAGTCTATAGTATTTTATAGTCTCTCAAACTACAGTATGTAATAGTCTCTCAAAGTACAGTAATAATAGTCTCTCAAACTACAGTACTAATAGTTTCTCAAACTACAGTACTAATAGTTTCTCAAACTACAGTATTCAATAGTCTCTCAAACTACAGTATACATAAGTCTATAGTAATTTATAGTCTCTCAAACTACAGTACTAATACTCTCTCAAACTACAGTACTAATAGTCTCTCAAACTACAGTATTCAAAAGTCTCTCAAACTACAGTATCCATTAGTCTATAGTATTTTATAGTCTCTCAAACTACAGTATTCAATAGTCTCTCAAACTACAGTATCCATTAGTCTATAGTATTGCATAGTCTCCCAAACTACAGTATTCAATAGTCTCTCAAACTACAGTATCCATTAGTCTATAGTATTTTATAGTCTCTCAAACTACAGTACTAATAGTCTCTCAATCTACAGTATTCAATAGTCTCTCAAACTACAGTATCCATTAGTTTATAGTATTTTATAGTCTCTCAAACTACAGTATGCAATAGTCTCCCAAACTACAGTATTCAATTGTCTCTTAAACTACACGTTTCAATAATCTCTCAAACTACAGTATTCAACAATCTCTCAAACTACAGAATTCAATAATCTCTCAAACTACAGTTTTCAATAATCTCTCAAACTATACTGTTCAATAGTCTCTTAATCTACAGTATTCAATTGTCTCTTAAACTACAGTTTCAATGCTCTCTCAAACTACACTGTTCAATAGTCTCTCAAACTGCAGTATTCAATAGTCTCTCAAACTACGGTATGTATTCAATGGTCAAATTGAATTCAATTTCAAACTACATTATTCAATAGTCTCTCAAACTACAGTATTCAATAGTCTCTCAAACTACAGTATTCAATAGTCTCTCAAACTACAGTATTCAATAGTCTCTCAAACTACAGTATCCAATAGTCTCTCAAACTACAGCATTCAATTGTCTCTTAAACTACATTTTCGATAGTCTCTTAAACTAAAGTATTCAATAGTCTCTCAAACTACAGTATTCAATAGTTTACATTATTCACTTGTCTCTTAAACTAAAGTTTTCAATAGTCTCTTACATTACAGTTTTCAATAGTCTCTCAAACTACAGTATTCAATAGTCTCTCAAACTACAGTTTTCAATAGTCTCTCAAACTACAGTATTCAATAGTCTCTCAAACTACAGTTTTCAATAGTCTCTCAAACTACAGTATGCACTAGTATCTCAAACTACAGTATGTATTCAATGGGCAAATTGAATGCAATGGCCTCTCAAACTACAGTATTCAATTGTCTCTCAAACTACAGTATGTATTCAATGGTCAAATTGAATGCAATAGTCTCTCAAACTAAAATTTTCAATAGTCTCTTAAACTACAATTTTCAATAGTCTCTCAAACTACAGTATGCAATAGTCTCTCAAACTACAGTATGTATTCAATGGTCAAATTGAATGCAATGGTCTCTCAAACTACAGTATTCAATAGTCTCTCAAACTGCAGTATGTATTCAATGGTCAAATTGAATGCAATAGTCTCTCAAACTAAAATTTTCAATAGTCTCTTAAACTACAGTATTCAACAGTGTCTCAAACTACAGTATGCAATATTCTCTCAAACTACAGTATGCAATATTCTCTCAAACTACATTATTCAAAAATCTTTCATACTGTCATATTCAATAGTATCACAATGTACAATTTAGACCTGATTTATGCGTCACACTAATCCCAAACTAATTAAACTGAATTTTGGTGTTTCACCTATCAGATGCGTGTCCAGTTTTTAATTAAAATACGGATCAATTCTGTTAAATAGGGTTCTGTCCCTTTAATAAGAGTACTGGATTGTTCAGACAAGTTATTCAATATTGCATTATTTGATCCAGTTCAACATTGAAATACTCTTGTTAAAACTAGACTCTTTTCACTCTCAATCAATAGATGATATGAAGACATTGTGTAAGATCATGTTTAATGGGAATACTATAGACTTTAAGTTGTAAACAACATAGAAATAACACAATAAACTGAACTAGCTCAACTTTAATCCTTTACAAATGCATGGTTTTAAAATAAATCACATACGTATGCATTGATTATGTTGTGGTTTATGGATCGTTAGGTCAGAGTGCTCGGTTACTGATTTGAGAAACACAACCTGGCGTTTCTAGGAAACATTACGTGCGTGACGGGGGTCGAGCAGGGGTCACAAATTGTTCTGAAGGAAGAGAACTGTGAACTGATTTGAACACTTTTACTGAATAGCTTAGTTGAACAAATTCCCGTTTAAGAAACTAAGTTACGATTGGTCCAACGGGTGATGGACCTTTAACATCTTAAATGAAACTGAGAGAACGATAATTGGTCAACATATGCCAAAACTAAATGTGTCTTAATTATTACCAGCTCTTTCAATAGTCTTCAACATTAACTCACTTATGTCTAGATTTTCAAAACACTTCGATCTTGATCAGTATTATGAAAGTCTAATATGTGTTTTGTGGCATATAGAACAAAGCCAAAAGTTGGCAAATTAACATCACGGTATTCACAAATTGATTTCAGAGGCAAATTGCCTAGCTATTCTCTGGAACATGGTTCTATTCGACTGAACTACGATGTTCTGCTATAGACAAACAGCATATGTTTTATTTGACGTGATCCTTGCCTCGTTTGTGACAGAAATTTATACATCAAAAAGAAAAACAAATTGATAATATCTGCCTATTTTAAGTAAATCAAAATAATCTATTTTTTATTTGAACTCAACAAGCTTCAATGGTTTTCTATATATCGATAATCATTTATAACATATTTATGACGTAACATTTAAGGTTTTCTACTACATGTAGTGTTTGTGTATCGGAACATTTACAGCTTCTATTTGACCATTCCGACTGTCTGACGCCAGTGATTCCTATATTCCACCGAAACAGATTATGACGCCATGGCTATTTTAAAGGGTACTACCTCTTTCTTGAGTTACTATCTCTATATAAAGACGATTTATCTATTAAACTAAATTATTATTGAAACACGCTTGTATTATCTAAGCGTTTAAATTATTCTTAAAAGTTAAGAACCACAAACGTTGTTGTTTTTTATGTCCTACTGTTCTGCAACTAATTGGGCTAATAATGATGGCAACGTCATGCGAGGTGCAATGGGGGACTTTTCCCAGAACAGCCGTATTACCCTGCTCTTTTTCGACTTTATTGTCCCGACCAATTTCACTGACATTAAGAAACTGGGTTGAATAATCCAAAGGTATTATCTCGACCTGGACCTTCAGGTTAGCGAGCAAGTCTAACTCAATGAATCACCGTGGTTCCAATCGGAACGATGCATACAGAAATTCTCAGATACTCAAAAAGACAGAATTATAATTGATTTGAATATGAACTTTGAATCTTTGACCGGCTACCGGTAACCAATTCGAAAAAACATTCACCACAATCAAATGACACATTAGTAATCGCATTAATCAAATTTATTCATGTTTCTTTTGACATAAATTAATCTTATCTATTTTAACAGTGAAAAACCTTATTACTATCGTTATAACACATACTGTATACATATCTCTCTCTATTGCCTTCTAGGAAAACATATTATAAGTTTATTCCTATATCGCTTACTACTTTTGTGACGTCACTACTCTTAAAATCACCTGAGATGTTACATAGCTATTGTTGCGGAGAAAGGAACGATATATTAATTTTCCTGATGAAATATTTCAATTTGGAGTGGGGTTTTTTTCGTGTCTATATAGCGGTATTCGTTGTTTATCTCTTAAACTTTTAAAGGAAGTGCTTAATTTCAATTTTTGTATATCAGATATTGGACGCATAATTTGACTGCAAATACCTAAAACATACGGATGAAAGTGATGTCATTATATCGTCCGATAGTTCGTATCATTTTCATGTTTAGAAGTCATAATATGGGTAATGTCTGTACAAGAGAATGTGATATAATAAATATCTCCTTGGCGATAAGCAGATTCTCGTTACGTCCGCAGTGCCTTTTTTTATTTCATGACAGACGAACCGTGCGTCCTAATTTCATTCTGAAAAAAAACTACGGATAGCAGAAATTGAACCGAAAAAGAAATTATCTTGTCGACTGTATTACTCACGCATGGGTTAGTTTTAATGCGATCTGAATAAATTTAATCCCAAAGTAACTAATTAAAACTAATCAAGCTTACGAAATTCACGGCAGTCGTGTTGTTACAGAGTAAGATTTTTATCTACAGGGTGATAAGGTGCATCGTCGAAAAAGGCGTCTTTGTTTGGAGAGGGAATTATGGGGATAAAAGTACAACGAAATATGATTAAAAAAAATTATGGTAACTGAATTATTATGCTATTGTTTCGACATTATTGCCAAAACATATTCGTATTATGCATGTGATACCCTTCACAACGACTTCGAAATATGAAAAACATACAAAATCGTACTTTTTTTTCTTTTTCAAAATTATTATAGGATATAAGGACCGTTTCGAGTTTCGAAGCAGTCATGTCTTCTACTCTAATGATGATTAAACTAATTAAAATTAACAAACATCCCGAGGCAGTTTTTTATTCATAAATCTTTATTTTTGCCCTCAGAGGGAAAATCCAATATAAATGAACTAGCCTTACCTTGTGTAAGTAACACTTGTATGATCACTTGAAGCAACATATTGCTGAAAGTCTACAGAGATAATACAGATATTGGCAACTCTTATCACTAACTTGATATAATGTAGTTAATAAGGAAAACAGTCCAATAATATTCTGTAATCAATGTATATAGTGTATATGAACCACAGAGACCCCGCCCTTATATTCATCACATGATAGAAGTAACAAAAACGACTTTAAATATTTCAGGTATTAATTTAATAGCTGACAGTCGACCTTCTATAATAAAAACTATGGGGATAGGACACTCGTTACTTTTGAGCTTACTTATGGTTACGGTTTATGAAAGCTTTAATAAGTTGAAGCGATGGTTATTTACTCCAACGGGTGAGAGTGTCCGACATACCCAACGTGACCTAAAGAGGAGCTTGGCGTATTTCATTTAATTTTACCCTGGCCAGTTTGTAGAGGTAACAAGTCACAAAACACCATGAATTAGAGTGATATTTTTCACTTGAGCTATTAAAGACAGGAAATGTCATACAACTTGCCAACCACACACTGTGTAACAGTTCTTTAAAGGTATGTAAAGAGATTTTCTAAAATTGTATGTGAATCGGGGACACATATAGCATCAACTTGCCTTAGTTCAATTTTCGATCAGATCGACTCCTGCAATTCCACTAAAACTAAGTGTTCATGACGTCACTATTCGCAAAATATGCTTTATCATTTAAGACCCTTTGCGATTAGTGACGTCATCAAACACATAGTTTTAGTGGAATTGAAGGAACCACAGACGTTGGAAAATTGGAATGGTGCAAATTGATGCTATCAGTGTCCCTGATACACATAATTTTTTAGAAAACCTCTTTACAATCCAATTAACGTATACAGTCTTAGACGAATTTAAAGCCTTTTCAAAACAATGTTGAAATAGCTGATGGTACTTGCTCTTGAGCCAACTTGTTCTTTGAACGGTATGCAACACTTCTTGTAAAGATGAGAGTATACTCCCTATAATTACCAAAATCGTTTTTAATAATTTAAATAATCGTATTTGCAATAACGGTATATAATCTGGTCAAATATTTCCTGCAATTATTAAAGAAGTCACAGTCATTTCCAGACCAATAATTTGTGATCATTTTGTTCGTTTAAGTTTGCTACATGTATAGACCCCTTTGTTATTATGACTTAGTCCCAAGGCTGCTGTTTCTTTTCATGTCAATTTTCATCAATAATAAATGTTTATCTTAGGGGAGTCCGAAATCATCCATGTATAGTACTCT